ATTTTTTTTTGCTAACGGCCAACTTTGAAAGATTCGAAGTCCATCAACGGGAGCATTTTTAGGGTCTATAACCAGCGACGACGTCTTCGTGCTCTAGGATTGGATCCGGATATGCCCAAAGGAGCCTTCATCGATAACGAAGCTATAAGGGAACACATAAAAATGGCGAACGCTAAGAAGGCAGAAGCTGCGCGGTTACGGTATGTTGTTTTTGATATAGCTTTTCACTCTTATGTTGTCTCGGCACACATTTCTGTGCAAAAATAATTATGAAGTTGCAATAGTGTTGGAAATTACCTTTGCAGCCGATCATATGATCCCATATCTATATTGTGAGAAAAAAAAAACAAACTTTTCTGTATCCACCGTTATTCTCGTTGCCGCGTTCTCAACGTCGGGAGAGATCACCATATTGAAAACAGTATGATGGAGTAACCGAAGTATTTGTAGGTATCACCGTATGACAGCAGAAGAAAAGCGAGAATACAATCAGAGGCGAACGGAATCATTCCGCAAGAGGCGTCTCGAGGAGGAGATTCTCCTTTCCACCCCAGCTGGTCGAATCTCCGCCGAAGCGTTGCAAAAAGTGGGTATCATCATATATCTTCATACGTTTCCTTTCTTCAGGCTTTTGATCCTGTTTTAGGCTCAACAAATCATGATAAGAAACGCTAGAAAAGCTGAAGCTGCCAGGGCACGTTATCAAAAAATGTCACCAGAGCAGAGAAAGGTTTGCATTCTTTGTTTCAGATGATAGCTTGAGAAAAGGGAAAATTTGTGTTGTTCAGGAATATAATATGAGGCGCGCACAAGCAAAAAAGATGAGAGCTCTGAGTCGTGAAAATCGAGGTCTTGGGAACTCGAATTGTTCGCAGGGTTAGTCAGATAATATGCATAATGTTACGAAAACTTGTATGTTCATAATGCCTTCTGCCTTCAGTGTCTGGGGACATGGGTGATTCTTCTGGCATGAGCTCGTCGTTTGATGCAAACAGTTCTATGTCGTTGCTGGATGCTAATGAATTAACTTCCGCTATGGAGCAACATCTCAATTCTACCTCTCAGGTGCAGTTTTCTTTG